GCAGCACCTGGGCTGACAGCCCTAATGGTCACTGATCAGGCTCCTGTGATCCCGGCCGACTATGTGTGAGCTGTGCGGCCGGCCGGGATTATTTAAAAAAATTGTGGTGGGGCGGAGCTAGCGTGCGGCGGGGGTGGAGCCTAGCATGCAGCATGGGAAGCATGCCCAACAACCAGCCTCCAGGAGCTCCAAGGGATGTAGCGGTAAGAAGCAGGTCAGTGTGTCTGTGTGTGTGTGTGTGTGTGACTGTGTGTGTGTGACTGTGTGTGTGTGTGTCTGTCTGCCTGTGTGTGTGTGTGGCTGTCTGCCTGTCTCTGTATGTGTGGATGTTTTCCTCAGTGTCAGTGACTGTCTGCCTCTGTGTGTGTGGATGTCTTTGTGTGTGTGCATCTGCTAGTGAGTGAGTGAGCGAGCTTCTGTGTGTGTGTGTGTGTGTGTGTGTGCGCACATCTGCTAGAGAGGGAGCCTCTGTGTGTGTGTGCCTGCTAGTGAGTGAGCTTGAATGTGTATCCATGAGCTTGTCTGTAGGGATCATATGTCTGTATGTGTGTGTTAGTGAGCTTGTCTGTAAGGAGCATGGGTGTGTCGGAGCCTGTCTGTGATGAGCATGAGTGTGATCGTGAGCTTGTCTGTAGTGACCATATGTGTGTCAGTGGGTTTGTCTGTAGTGAGCATGTGTGTGTCAGTGAGCTTGTCTGTAGTGAGCATGTGTGTTAGTGAGCTCTTCTGTAGGGAGCATGTGTGTGTCAATGGGCTTGACTGTAGGGAGAGTGTGTGCGCATCAGTGAGCTTATCTGTAGTGAGCTTGTGTGTGTGGCAGTGAGCTTGTCTGTAGTAAGCTTGTGTGTGTCATTGAGATTGTCTGTCAATGAGCCTATTTGTGTGCATCAGTAAGGTTGTCTGTGTCTGTGTGTGAGTATGCTTTACTGTATAATTTAATTACCCTGAAATAACTAATATTTAGAATTAGAAGAAGAAATGTATCAATAAAAAAAAAAAATATATATATATATATATATATATATATATATACTGTAGTACCTTGCACTCAGGCTTCAAAGTTGTGTGACCGGGTGCATCACCAGGGCTCCAGTATCTAGGCAATTGAAATAGTTGGCTGCACTCTCAGATTTCCTTAAAATGTAACTTTTATTGAAATATTTAAGAGAAGATCAACGTTTCAGTCCCTCTTGTGGACTTTCGTCATGATTCTGATGCAAGTCCACAAGAGGGACTGAAACGTTGATCTTCTCTTAACTATTTCATTTGTATGTATATGTGTGTGTATATATATATATATATATATAGGCAATATATAAACACCCTACAATGACTTATGGGGCTGGCATAGATTTTTTTCCAGGGCTGCTTCGTTTCCCCAGTCTGGCCCTGGTTGCTTTAACCCTCAGTTATATGGGGTAATAAATAGCTTGTTTCAAACTGCAGCCCCTGTCTACTGCTCAAATCTATTCTCTTTCTTGAATAAACTTAAAAAATAAATAATGAGTGAAAATCTCTCTGTGAACCAGAGATGATTGAGTAACTATTTAACTCATAGGGTATTCACAGGTAGAATAGAATTAGAATTAGTAGTATTAATTAGAAGTTACATGATGGTTGTAAATGGTGATAATTTTAAATACTCACTGATATATATACAATGAGTAATATGGTATAATGTGGATACATTCAATAAAACACTTTTATTAAGGGGTGATTAATAATAGGTTTAATAAAATGAGGGATAACAACAAAAGAACAATGGTAGATTGATGAACTAAATGAAAAGGATTGTTGAAAATATTGGTGACTTGAGAAAAAGAATATGAATTAATATATTGTTTACATTTGTCCCTTTTTTAATATGTCATGATATGGACTATTGTGTTATGTAAATCCACGATATTACCTCTGGCGACCACCAGAGGACAATAATGCAAATATTGAGCGCCGAATTCAATGGAACGCACGGCCATTTACATCAAGCCGCAGTGGAACGCACGGAGGTGCGCCGAACCGGAAGTAAAGTCCCGAAAGAAAATTTTACCGCAAAAAAAATTATATGAAATAGAAACAGCTGGGAAACCTTTCAACTGCTGATAGGAAGCCCAATCAGAAGAGGATTATGCACCAACGCCCACCACACCACCAATGGACTCCCATCTTGAACATATTTAAGGGTTTGAGGGGGGAGGGGGAAATAGGCTCATTTGTACACTTGTTGATGTTTTGGCAGTGTATGTAATTGTATGTTTTAACTGTTAATTTGATATTTGGTCCCTGAGGAAGTTTCCTAAGGGAGACGAAACGCGTGGGACCAGTAATATTTTTTATTTTATTTTTATATTTAAAAAGCCAATAAATCCCCTTTTTTATCAAACATCGGGAGTGTGTGGACTTCCTAATTTTGGAATTGGCGTGGTAACCAAACAGGAGGAACCCCCCTAACCATAGGGGAGGCAACCTGAGGGCTTGAAAAAAAACAGCAATTTGTGAGTGCAACCTTGAAACACAAAATCAATATCTAAATTGTAACTTTATTACACTATGATGCATTTTATTCTTATATTTTAGTGATACAAGCTGGATCCCTGGTCGATTTATATTTTGTAACAGGTAGAATAGAGACAGGAGTAGAAATATAACAGCCTCTCACTCTTGATTGCTCACTAGACAGTGTAGAGGAAAATAATGTGAAACATAATAGATAAGTGCTAAATAAGCAGAACCATGCTTAGAGTGCTGGTTTGCTACACCAAATGTGAAAGTGCCCTGTGTGAAAGAAGAACCCTTCTTCTTAACATATAATTACAACATACAATGACAAACATGACAATGAGTCCATTGTCAAGCCCAATCAAATCGTACATTAACAGGTAAATTAGCCTTAAGCCCCTCTCAAGTCCTCCATAGACTCTTTCCATTTTAGCCACTTTTCTATGTCCCTACTGTTTCTTTGCATTGAAGTATTCATCTATTTTAGCCTATTTTCCATTTTAATTTGAAAAAAAATACTTTTTAAGAGGGGAAAATTAAATAAGTTGCTTTCCTTCCAGTTTCTAGCAATCAACAAAAAGGGTATTTAATTAATAATGCAGTGCTTTTAGTAACAAATCATGTGTAGAGTTGAGCGTACACGAACTGTAAAGTTCGGGTTCGTACCGAACATTAGTCAAATAGAAGTGTTTAATACTGCGGTTACAGCGCAGTGGTAAACATTCTTATTTTCTGGGTGCTAATCTGCTAAATAGTACATTTGCGGCCTGCGGTGCACTTCATATGTGAGAGTCAAATAGAAGTGTCAAATACTGCTGTCACATTGCAGTTTTAAAACATAAATTTTTTAGGTGCTAATCTGCTAAATAGTACATTCTGGGGCCTGCTCTTCATATCTACAAGTCATGCTACAACACAATTAAACAAGTGTTAAAATATGTATGGGCCAACCAGTGGCTGTAAAAACAAAGTTTTACTGGTTACATTCATGACTACACACTCTAGTGAACAGGACCTTCCTGTAGTGTGTTCTTTTTTTTTAAAATCATACAGCATCCTTTCATGTGCTTTTCAGATGTCATATTCTGAATTACCTGATTTTTTTTTTTTTTTTTAAGTGAAAAATAAATGTTATTGTGATCGCTTCATGTACAGTTCTATATTGTGTAAAGACACAACTACAAAGTTAAAAACAAACACCAAAACAATGTGACATACAATCTACCTGTGTTATACAGTAAGTCTACATCTTAAAAATGCAATAACCCACAGAAGATGGGCAAGAATTTTTTTTTTTGCAAATGGAACTTTGATTCGAATTTACTACATCGGTCACTTGTAATATTGTTTCACACCTACAACACTTGTTACACAGATCTAAGTGACAGAAAACAGATTGATATTTTCTACACTAGAAACTACCAGATAACAAGCTGCTATATTTAAACCAGTTATCAATAGCTAAGAGGTACTTAAACAATATTGTAATTCTGGGGCAATACCCTCACAAGTCAAACTGAGAGGTCAGTTTATAGGGAAAACTGTTGCCTGGATACAATTCTAAAACAATTTCCATATGTCCTTTGCAGACTTTACATGCTGGAAAAACACAGGTGCCAACTGCTGTGGCTTTCTGCAATGTGCATACAAGCAAGGAGGGCAGGGTTGAGGAGTGGGTGGTGATGATGTGGAGGAAGATAAGGTCCTAGACCCCACATGGAATCAAGGTCATGCGAGTGACGTGTGCAGTTTGGAGGCACCAGCACAGCATAAGAGGGAGCAGGGTGCAAAAGCGGAGTGGTCGTCCCCTAGCGCTCGTCGGCATGTATTAGCTCGAGAATTACTAGTTATCCAAGTAATACATGTAGCGATCAAAGGATCCATAATAGAGTTGAGCGAATGCAAACTGAAAAGTTCGGGTTCGTACCAGGCTTAACGATCCATTCGTAGTTTCACAGTCAGGTGGGCAGTCCGGTGACCAGGACCCTGACACTGTCTGGGCAGCGGTCAGACGACCGGGACCCAGTATGCCTAATGTTGAAGTTAGGAGTCACAGTGTGTGGAATGGATCAGCAGGGTCTGGTGCAGGGAAACCGCATGCCCCCTGGTGTTGAGCACCAGCGTTTGTGCGGAAACATACCAGGACCCTGATGCAGCTTCAGTAAAAAGAGTACTTCATTCCAGAAGTTATCACCAGACTTATCCGCAACTTGGAAAAGGATGTGACATTCACTGTAGCGGCTGTGCGCGCTTTTGGTGTTGTCGCCCTGTTGCTGCTCCCTGTCTGTGCTGCTCACCTGTCTGTGCTTCAGCGTAACTTCAGCCTTCCCGCTCACCGCCTCATGAGACTGTGGAAGCAGCAGCAGGCAATAGTGGAGTTTCAGCTTCAGCACGCACGGGTCAGGGGCTCTGCACCAGACGTCCCTCCAATTGATCAGAGTTAAAGGATTTCAAGTGGACTCATTACAATTACAGGGCCTCTAGAGAGTCCTGTATTGTTATTTGTCGTCACTACCTCCCCGCGTCGGGAGTGGGTCATTTGCGCGCCTGCTGCTTTCTTTGCATGTGGTAGCCGTTTCTCAGGGTCCCTGTATGGAATGGAACCCTGATTCTTCGTTACTCGTGGTCACCATGGTATGACATCCGCATGCAAAGTCGCCGGCACAGGGATGTGTGAATGGCCCAAGGTTATATTTATATATATATAAAAAAACAGTGTTGGCTACCTCATCCTCCTCCTCAGCCGCTTCTTCCACCTACACCGCCACGGTCACCGCCTCCTCAACCTATGGGTCACTTAGTATAAACTAGGTACACATTAAATTCCATGTCCCATAATTTCTTAACTTCTATACAAATCCACCAAATATACAGAAACGTGTCTGCCTCTTTAGTACATCTCTAAGAGATGTAATTTTTTTATTTCAAAAGGTACCAAGTACAGGTGGTTAAATAATTTAAAACTGGATTTCCACAATGTTTAGACAATGTATATACTTCTTCGTGCATCTCACTTAGTCAACTTCTCTATAATTTTCATTCTTTTTTATTTTTTTGTTTAATAATTTCACAGCATTTTGTTATCACTTTGTAGTAAATACAATCTCCAGTTTAGGGCTAGCTTCTTATCTTCTTAAACAGGTTCTTATTAAAAAAAAAAAAAAAAAACGTTATTCTTAAATAAGTCAAGATCTCTTTTTTAGATAAATTATATTCTCTTATCAGCAATTCTGAAGGGGTTTATCTTTGAACTATTCATTAGATCCTTTAACCCCTCAAGGACACATGCCATGTGTGACATGTCATGATTCCCTTTTATTCCAGAAGTTTGGTCCTTAAGGGGTTAAAGTATTAATGTTAACCAATTTCCGGTTTTTCAAATTGAAGTCAGCAACATCCATTAAATCAAACACATTATTCTTTAAACCCAGTTTGTTCTTAATTTTATTTCATATTGGTATAATATTGTCAAGAATTATTAATTTTGTTAATGTGGAGAATCACCACTTCTCTGAATTCTCCCAATTATGTCATGCTGTCAAAGAACAACCAAAACATGTGATGCAATTAACCCCATAGTGCACGCTCTGAGAGGGTGCATGCACCCATGCAACACAATGGAAGACATGCTTGGGCACACATGCACTTGGTATATCTCTTTCACAGAATATACCTGAATGCTCATGAGTGCACCCGAAGCTAGGGAGTGGAAAATCTGTATAAAATTCAATATGAAAAAAGATTTCCATCCATAGTGCCTCCAGACCATGATAGGCACGTATCAATAATCTTGAAGAAAGTTGGACCAGGAACATAAAGTTGGTTGAGTATTATGAGACAAACAAAACATAGATTTTTTTCCACCACTATGCCGCAGCCTTAAACACTGCAGTTTATTAGATATATAAAAAATAATCACTTCATATTCATTATGTGAAGTCAGATTTATGGTGCTGTTCCCAAAGTTCTATAACAGATAATTGCAAGAAAATAAAAAATACCAGCAAAAATCCAGAATACTTTAGCAAGGCAGATCCTTAGAAGTACTGGTTTATTCATATGATGTTTGACACGGTTGAAAACAAAAGACATATGCGTGGATTTTGATTTTGCATTATTTATAAATTTTTTGTGCACTTTTGTGTATGTATTACCTGATCCACTATGACACATGGGGGTCTGTTTTGTTTTCACCATGTTGTGCATCAAATGAATAAACAGGTACTTCTAAGGATCTGCCTCGCTGAAGTAGTCTGGATTTGCTGAATGTAGTCTGAATTTATTGCATGTGAAAATATTTTTATTTTCTTGCAATTCACATATATATCTTGATTTTATTTAAAAATCTGATTTATCAGATTTTATTGAAAAATCAAACAACAGTAAATAAAGCCAAATCCAGTCACAATTTGGTCCTCCTAACAAAGCTACACAATTCAGCTTGATGCTTTCTGTGATTCTTTTCGTATTAAAGTGTGACAGGTGCTTGTGATTGATACAGTTTTTTATAAAAACATTGGGTTTTGAAAGACTAACAATACTAGTAAACAAAAAAATATAACTAAGGAGATTAAAAAAATATGCATTTCCACATAGCAGGAATGTTTCTATAAATACCATATATTGATTTATCAATTAAAGCTTCCTATCAAACAGGAATGTGAATTTCTGTAACGTGAACTTTTTTTAATAAAGGAAATCCATATCTCCCAACAATCAGGATAGACGCAACAAGAGATGCTACCCCTCATGCCACCATCCTGATTGTTAGGAGATATGCATTTCTGATATAAAAAAAAGTTTTGCAGAATTTTGATGTGTGTTTACAATAGCCGCCCAATGATTCCCTATAGGATCATCTAGAATAGATTGATGATTTTGGCTAAGGAGGTGTGACAGCCACAGAGAGACTAAACCAGTAAATTAACTAGCGAGCAGATAATTTTATCTTTTTAAGCAAAAATAGCATTTTTTCTTTTTGCATGTTCAGCCAAAATTCTACTTTTATATTTCTCTGTTGTCTACATGTCTTATTAAATGACTACACATCTTTTAGAACTTTAGTACTGGTGCAATGTGCAAATGGACAGATACAAACTTTGACAGCATTTTTTAAAAGTCATTTCAGCTTCCCACTTCTAGAATCAGTCAATCTGTCTTTTGTAGATGGACTATTTAACTGGTTGTTCCATTGCACCTTTAACAATAGGGTGTAATTGATTTAATAGCTTCAGTAATGTTCCACTTTGTACAATGGAATTTAATTGATTTGATAACATCAGTAAGGTTACACTTTCCACAAAGGGATTTAATCAGTAAAGTTACACTTTCTACAAAAGGATTTAATTGATTTAATAGCGTCAGTAAAGTTACACTTTGTGCAATGGGATTTAATTGCTAAATAAACTAAACAAACAGGTTTTGTTTATTGTACAATTTTATAAACTAGATGGCCACTGGGACCTGAGACACAATATCAGATAGTTACAGATAACATACATTGTGAACACACAAACTAAAATAATAAAAAATAAAATAAAGCAGAATAAATTTCTTTATGGGTTAAGCACCACATTAGGGTCATTTACACTGCCAGTACAAGGGTATTAGTATTAGTTTTGTATTAGTGCATTACAAACATAACCTCCAAATATGCTGCTTGTATAAACAAGGCACAATCCCCGGAATGGGTAACATTGCCACTACAAATATGAGAACTACAATTTCCATTTCTCTAGAGCAGGGGTTCCCAGCCCATGGTACATGTACCCCCAGGGGTACAATATGTGCCCCCGGGGGTATGCCAAAATAAACATTAATTGCAGCTCGGAACCAACAGTCCATTGGATGACCCATGTACTTAAGGCCACCCGATGGACATCTACCATGAGGGGCCTGGTTGTGTGTTGTGGCACTTTAATTGTCGAGCCATACAGGAGCGGTGGCGTCAAGCCGCGAGGTGGGGAGCCAGACCTGGAGCAAGCAACCCAACTCCCAACAGCCCCAGCTATGGAAGTCAATATGTAAGACCTGGAGGGTGGCTAAAATCTTAGCCTTCATGTGGATTTTAGGTGTCTAAATTGGTGTGTCTGTGTATGTGTCAGTGTGAGCATCTATATGTCTGTGTATCTGTCAGAGTGTGTATCTGTATGTCTGTGTCAGTGTGTATCTGTATGTCTGTGTATCTGCATGTCTGTCTAACGGAATATCTGTTAATGTGTCAGTGTGTATATTTGTATGCCTGTGTATCTGTATGTCTGTGCATCTGTTTGTTTGTGTATCTGTCTGTTAGTGTATCTGTGTGACTGTGTCGGCGTGTATGTGTCAGTGTGTGTATCTGCATGTCTGTGTAACTGTATGTCTGTGTATGTGTCCGTGTGTTGATCTGTATGTCTGTGTGTCTGTATGTCTGTGTATGTGTTAGTTTGCATCTGTATGTCTGTGTATCTGTATATCTGTGTATGTCAGTGTTAGTTCCTGTGTGTCTGTGTATGTATTAGTGTGTATCTGTATGTCTGTGTATCTGCATGTCTGTGTATGTGTCAGTGTGTATCTGTATGTCTGTGTGTCTGTGTCAGTGTGAATTTGTATGCTTGTGTATCTGCATGTCTGTGTAACGGTATGCCTGTGTATGTCAGTGTGTGTATCTATATGTATGTGTTTCTGTATGTCTGTGTCAGTGTCAGTCTGTGTATCGACATGCCTGTGTATGTGTCAGTGTGTGTGTCTGTATGTCTGTGTATGTCAGTGTATGTATTTCTACGTGTTTTATCTGTATGTCTGTGTGTCTGTGTATCTGTATGTCTGTGTCAATGTCTATCTGTGTGTCTGTGTATCTTCATGTCTGTGTATGTGTCAGTGTGTGTATCCATATGACTGTGTATCTATGCCTGGGAATGTGTGTATCTGTATGACAGTGTATGTGTCAGTGTGTATCTGTTTGTCTGTGTGTGTGTGTGTGTCAGTAAAAAATAAACAGAGATACAAACATTGACAAACATACAGATACACACACTGACAAACAAAGAAATACAGAAACATGCACAGATACACATACATACAGATACACACACTGATACACACAGACACAGGTGCACACAGGCTCAGTGTGTGTATCTGTATGTGGGTCAGCTTGTGTGTATCTATATGTCTGTGCATCTGTATGTCTGTGTATGTGTCAGTGTTGGTACATGTATGTTTGTGTATATGTCAGAGTGTGTATCTGTATGTCTGTATGAACCTCTGACTCCCAACAACCTCAGCTAGCCAACTGGCCCCATGGAAGCCACCATCCTGCTCACAAAGTAGGAAACAAGAGGGTGGCTAAAAATTAACATTTTGCATGTGTGTCAGTTTGTGTGTCTGTGTATCTACATGTGTCTGTATGCAGAGGCGTAACTAGAAACCACTGGGCCCTGGTGCAAAAATTGCCCTGGGGCCCTATGCATACATCTCACCCCCAGGCCCTCCATGTGTCACCTTCATTCCCCTCAGCCCACCATGTGTCTTATTTATGCCCCACAGGTTGGCCTGGTTGGGGAGTTTAGTATAACAGAATTGGAGTGGTTAATGACATAGGGTGAGAGTGGCACGGTAAAAAGGAGCGAGTGTGAAGAGTGATGGAGAAAGAGTGTGACAAGATTGGGGGTGAGTGTGACAGTGCTAGAGAAGTTGAGTGTGATAGGGTGAATATGGCAAAGCGATGGGTGGTGAGTATGCTATGGGTGAGCGACAGGATGGGGTGGGGTAAGTATGACAGTGCGAGAGAAGGTGAGTGTAATATGGT